ACCTAATCTCTTGCAAAGCGTGTAGTGATAAATATGTTGGCGAAACGGGTAGGCCGCTCTATGCACGCATAGAAGAACACCTAGCTGACAAGCGTCTTAATAGACAAAACACCCCGCTAGGGACGCATACAGCACAGAAGCACGACGGAGTTGATTTTGAATCGAAGTCACCATCCTTGCGCAGGAGCAAAAAACATCAGCGCGAAAGATCTTGGAAGCATTTTGGATTAATGCGACCAATCCAACCATAAACCGCAGGGAGGAATGCCTTGATAACACTCGTGATATGAGCCAGTATATAAGACTGTTGTTTTGATGGGTAGGGTGCATTACGAGCCTATGTGTCTCTCTTGCCGGTGATCTCCACTTGGATCATCCAGTGGAACACATATAAAAAGCGGTGAGTATGTTGAGTGTTGATTTTTGCTTGATGCGATTGAAATCTAGGTCTGGTGATTTTCTCTAAAGAAGTAATGGAGGTGTTTGACTGATTGTATTGCAAACATTTTGACCTTTCCAGGCTCTGAAGAAGGCGAACTGCCGAAACGTCAGCAATCGAATAAAGTTTAATGTAACACCTTGTGTTCTGCTCAAAGAAGAAAATCAAGAATCATACTGAAGCATGCCGAGGTTAATAGACAATCGGTCTTGGGAGTTGTTAAAAATTTAGGCACGCGAAAATAAAAAAAAAACGAAAAAGTCTGGGAATCACCTGTCAACCTGACGAAATAAACCACTGCCGCTGAAAAATATATCCTAAGGAAGAAACCAATAGAGAACTTATTGGGGTCGGCTTGTCTTGTGGTGATGGGCCTGCCATGTACCTCAATATTGAGATACGGTTACAAAACTATCTTGGATAGCGCATATACCAGCTCTCGAAGTTGCCACGTTCTCAAGGGTGGCGCTATGAATTTGAGGTCATTATACGTCGTCAGAAGTGTTTAGTGGATGTGGCCTTTACAATGGCTCGCCGTGGCCTGCACATCTAACAGGTCGGTGCTGTTTTAACAGCACACCCTGGAAAATGGAAGGCTTTGTGAATCTGAGGCGCGAAATCGGATCAATGGCACTTGTTTGTAGCAGAATAACTCTAATCGTCGCGCCACACACGTCCTTCAATATGCGACAGCTTAGTTACTATTAATAAGAAGCTGCTGCTTTCGGCACTTCTTAGAATATAATGCTCACTTGTAAGTGAAATTTTGATCTAGAGCTGATGTATAAGTTAATATCTCATTTTCAGCCGAACTTCTCATCATACATCTCGATGCACCACTGATGAACATGCATTCAGATGCGTGGTGGGGAATTCTGTACGATGTGCTTCATCTGATTGTAAGGGGGACGATCAGGACGATAAAGCATTCGTTTAAGCCCGGCGCTATTAACCATGCAGGTGAAACGCAGCCAAATGACACTGATATTTTCATCATCAAAGTTTACGCTGTAATTCCTCGCGATTTTAGGTAAAGATAAATCGACTGCTAATGGATTGTTTGCGCATGTCATGTAGTCTCTATTTCAAAGACCTTGTTGGAAGGCATAAGATTTTTTTTGGATACTTGATTGTTCCAATTATGAGTGGAATGAATTGAGTGTGTTTCCAAATAGATGGCCTGTTTCGTCAGTTCATGTCTGGCCATTATAGACAACTTTTATTGGAGCTTCACTTAAGGTCATCAAAGTGTACATATTGTATAGTTTCTCAAACTTGATCATTGCTTAATTATCATATACTAATTTTTACCTTTATTCAATTTAATGCTTTGAAATTATCCATTTGGATGTAGTTTTCTGTATTTTTTTGGTTTCAGTTAGTTGTGGAGTGATAACAAATGTTGAGCTCTAGATATAAATGTATATGCTAACTTGCATATCCAGACTTTCTCTCAACGAGTCTGATTGCCCTGACGAACAATGTCTTTATTTTTTCTTTGTCGAAGGTAGGACCATGTATCATTTGCCAATCCCAGTCAATCAATAATTTTGCAATTGCAGTAATGTACGGATAAATATCCTAGCAAGTGTTGTCTAAACCGTACAAAGAGATTTTTTTGAATTGACAGCGAGTGTAGTTTAATAGTTAGTCTTCAGGCTACTTAGCATGACAACCTTAACTTTACGTTGGTGCAAAAGTAAACTGCAGTTTCACACCGCACTAAAAGCGCAATTCTGCATCAGGCAAGTTCTTTTCAAGGTCTAAAGTAGATATGAAAAATAGAAAAACTAATCCGTCAGTAACAAGACAAAAATCGATTGAAATGCTGCATGACATAACGATATTTATTTGAGGATATAATTTAGCTTCAAACGATGCATTCCAAGAAAGCATAAATTCCATGTTATACTGTCATACTGTACATCGCGAAGGTGGAAAGAGCTTCTCTAATATAAATCACTTCGTACCTGATCTTTTTCAGTTCCCATACTGCAATACAATGAGTTGTGGTTATTTGCGGAAAGATTGTGAAAGGTTTTTACTCATTAGTTCCATGGAATAAATCGTTATAATGTCTCTGCGGAACGATAATGAAGAGTTTTTCTCCAAGTTTTCCAAATGCACAGAGGGATGTAGCTAATTCGTGCGAATCTTTGCCACAGCAGAAATAAACTCTAAATCTGCAGAACGGCTGATATGTTTTGCTAGGTGATGGCAAAGGACTTAGGAAAGGAAGTTCTCACAAACTATTTGTTTTTGTATTCCAGCATACGTACGAATGTGCAGAGAGCAAGGTGATAGCAAGACGCTTTGTTTGTACATGCTAGTATAGCACATGGCGATGATACAAATTATAGCGAAGATCCATCAAAAAGTATACATTATTTTAGAGGGAAGCTTCAATTGAGGAGTACTTAAGCAATAGAAGGCAAAGATCTCTTGATGTAAACTGTAAATATGTGTCTAGAACGAACAAGTAACGAATTGGAGAATACTCTCTGTGAGGAGGAGACCAAGCTGATGTTCACCTTCCATATGACATTAAAAGGGGCTCGAGATTCGCTGTAGTAGACGAGGAACTAAGCATCTGAGCACCGTCAGTTTCTCACGACATAGTGTTATAGGCACCAAAAATATGAAATCGCGCCACGTTTCCTCAGATCGACTTTCACATAATCAGTCAAACTTCGAAGCTGATCAGTAGGTGAGTGTATTGTTGGTGAACTGCGACTAAGAGGTTGATGTAACATTCATTCCGTCAACTCGACATCTAGATGAGTTTGCTAGAAAAAACACTTCTTTTTTTTTCCTCTTGTAATAATGTAGCAATGGCGTGGCGCCATGGCCAAGTGGTTGTGGTGCTTGTCGCTGTCTTGGAGCCAACCAACCGCCTCTCAGCCCTCTCCCGCAGTCAGCAACAACGCCTTATGGAAGGCCACAGCCAGGCTATACTCTAGATTTCAAGGAGACATGCTCAACCAGTATTGCACGGAGCTCAAGAAGAAGACAAAGAAACGAATTGAGTGCTAGAACTACTAGGGCCTGCACAGCATAGAAAAACAACTGTGAAGACGGATTACTAAATGTAAATGTGCAATCAGTAGTGATAGAGATACGATGTGACCCATAGAATCATTTACATTAATTCCGTCTATGTAATGCTCTTCATTTTCTACAGAATTTCTCCCTGCCTTCAATATCCATATCAAGCAAGGATCGATGGTGTCACATCTGAATCCGTAAGTGAGGCATCTTCTCCTTAGCTCTCAGAGTGATCAGCGTGCGCGAAATATGCAATCATTATAAAATCAAAGAAGGGCGATAAAGCGATCGAATGAACTGATTTTAACATGATTCATGAAGACAACCTATTCCGGTGCGTGTATAGAACGAAAAGCAACAATAGAATTGTTAACAAATATTATATTTAGAATATTGTCATTAGACCCAAAGGATCAATTGATCAACACAATGTATTCTGTTAACTTGGGACGTAGTGCTGTCTGTAAGCAATCTTCAAACAGAGCAATATTAATTAATTCAAGATGAACGTCGCTCAACTAGTACTCAACACATCAATTATGGGAACAGGAGGTACATGCTTAACTCGATTTAGGATTCACTGTTAAATCACTATAGATGATGTATTCAAAACAACGAAACGGATTGAAAAAGTATCAATTGTGTTGTGGTATGCGAATATAAAGTCATTTCATTTTTCTGAACGACTAACAAAGTGCGCCTTGCTCATTACAGGCTCGGTGCTGACTCTACCCTGCTCGAGCTCACCAGGCCTCTCATCCCATATCATTGTTAGGGTTAGCAAGTGGATCATGCTGTGGCTGTGAACAATTTACAGGCTAGCACCTCCAGGTAACATGAAAACATCACACCCACAGCAGTCCCATTTGCCTACAGACTACTCGTTAAAATTGCCATCACCTCGCTTTGTTCTCTTGCTTGATCATCCTCGCTTACTGTTGCCTCGATTAGCATTCATCAAAATGATGTTAACTAAGCTCTGGAGCTCAGACTCCTCAACATCACACAATGGAGTTGTCGTTGATTGCCGTATAATCTGTATGAGTTGCTACTCTCTCAACTACCTCAAAATTCTTCTTGCACTATTCACTGCTAAATCATGAAAGCCACCATTGTTTCAATTCATTTTCTTCTCATTCCGCAGCAACTTAGTCTTTAATACTTAATATTTCGTATGCACAATTTATCGTGTTCGATGCTTACCCACTCTCGCAGCAGTCTCGGATTCTTGTGCAACTACTTCTACTCATCAGTCCACGTCCGAAGAAACCGTTTCCACCTCATCTCTTCCTGTTTGAGCATGGTCCTGTTTTACATTCCATTTGTTCCTCAATAGACTTTGCGTATAATTCAGTAGTCTGCTCCACATTACTCATGCTTATTTCTAATGACTATAAGTCACGCATTATTCATCTATGTTTCCGAACTTTGAGATTTGATTGAGGTAATGGAAAGAAGTCTGCCTTGACAAACAATAGATGGCGAGCATTCTAGTCAGCAAAGTCGCCACAACTGGTGCATTGGCCGGGAGTCGAACCTAGGTCGTCCGTGTGGCAAGCGAGCATTCTATCTCTAAACCATCAACACTCGAAATGTCTTCAGTCTCGACAACGATTCAACTATTAATTGACTAATGCACCGTATAAAATACCTCCACTGGAGAATGTGTAAGAATAGTTTGGTCTTAGTGAAGAATGCACTGCAAGAGAGGCTTTGGTGACGGTAACGAATGAATGTGCGTTGTGCGTCGTTTATTTGAATTGTTGTGCTGATCTGTCCTGGTGCAAAGGCTTTGATGTTGAAATAGTGATGAACACTGTTGAATGGTGATTCGTTTATAGCAATGATAAACAACCCATAATATCAGTGACTGCACACTTTCTATTTTTATTTTTAACTCTTTACTTGGTCCGTCATCACAGGGTTTTTTATTTCTTTTTTTCACTGTTCGAGCCTTAGTACTTGTAGCATTCAAATCGCTTTTCGTCTTCTTCTTGAACTGGCGTATACCGATTGCGCGAGTCTCTTTGCAACTTCGAGGATAGCCTTAGTGTGGCGATCCATGGGGCGTTGTTGTTGCTTGCCGGAAAGAGGTAAGGGGAGAATGGGGTGAAGCTCGGCTCCACGATGCAATATCTAAACAATACAAAAAGAATAGATTCACATAATAACTAGTGTAACGAAGTCATAACGATACATGTTTACGCATTAGTTCTAAGCCCAATGGAAGCTTATAATCGCAGATCTTTAGAATAATTGAAAGGAGTTAAACAGTCCATAGAACAGTAACTATTCACTTAGGCAAGATATAAGGCAATATGTGCCATCATGATCGCGATGATATAATGAGCTGAGAGAGTTGGAAACCGTCGCAGAGCTCCATGGGTGTCGATGTCGAATTGTCGGCAAATAACACTGAGGAGGCGCAGCTATTTCCCAGTCATCCTGCAGATGTCGATCTGTGGTTAGTTTACGAGAACAGTACCGTCCAGCTGCAAGACAAAGAACTCCAGTCAGCTGCTATGACTGATTTGTGGCTGGGCTAAGTTTGCATCTAGATAATGAATATTCATGAGTATATGGAATAAGGAAGTAGCAGCTGTTCGGGAGAATAATTACTATACACTCTATGAGGTTAGGGTATTGGAGTAGACATGTTTGGATGTGGTTAAGGTTTTACGACTCTAGCCCGGAGGTCAGCCCAGGACTGAAGAAAGCATCGACTGTAAGCATTCGGTGACAGCCATAAAGATTTCTCTAATCGACAGTTACATTGAAAGTTGAATACCTTTACGAGAATGTTTGTTTTCGTAGAAGGCAGACAGTTTAGTGAGTTGTCGCTGATCTACAAAAAATAAACAGAAGTTATGCTTCTAAAAACACCTTATCCGTTAAAGCCACTCACTTGCTTATGGTGAAGTGTTTTGGAATAAAAAAGGTCTGTCTGTTCACTAGTAGCAGAGTACTGGAAGAATTAATAGAGTGACCTTTTCAATGTGGTCTAACATCTCTGAAGATCACAGCATTTTCCTTCTATTGGTTTTCTCTTTTAGTCCTTTGCAAAGTTCAAGTTAGAGTATCGGCTTTATTATGAAAGTCGTCGGTGTCTGATCTATTGGAATCTTCCTAACTTCACGCGGTAGTCAGCCAAGGGCAGAAGCAGTTGTCGATATATACGAAACGGAACGAATTCGCGTTAGACGAACATGGCTCTATTTAACCTCGTTTTAGTTCCAATTTGCTTGCTGATCCGACTTCCTGATCTATAAATGAGTGCAAACTCAACTGATCTTTGTATAGTCGGACCACTACCATGCGAATATTGGTGAGCATATTATGCACCATTGTGCTACTCGCTCACTCAAGTGGGACAGCAAGATAATCAAATGTCTTTTATGAGGAGTTCAGTCGGTTAGATGAGCGAGAAGTAGAGAAGATTTGCTTGCATTTGAGTGCACTGTCGACTACAAAGTAATAATATAGCGGTTAAAGAACGCTTTTGCAGAGTGATTTTATTTAGCCTCTCAATAACATCAGAGTTGGGACATGATCTATTTTTTTATGAGATTTCGTGTACTCCGGCATATTGAAAAAAGTTCTATTGTTGCTCATCGCGTGCAAAAAACGTGAAAATGATCTCACGAGAAATCATGGTAATCAGCAGCCGTATAGAGCAGGCTAGAACTTCCCGTTGATGAGCAAGCAATTTAGCTGAAACACCGTACGAGTTTCTCATTTTTAAGAAAATTTTGTATTCAGGCTAAGAGGTATGGAGCGCTAAAGATCTCAAGCTACCTTCTCTTCCTTTAATATATACTATGTGGCTTTTAGTAGTACATAGACCTTCATGCAAGTGATTGCGGGCTAAATGGTGTTTGATAGTACTTGATAGTACTCCAGTCAGTACTGCTGGGTTCTCTAGGCCTCCCCTTTCCAAATAGCTTAATATAACTATACCAATTTTGTTTGTTATAAAAGAAAAGATTAACGAGATCCCATTGCAGCTGCATTTATTATTTCGAGATTTGACCTGCTTTCTAGAAGCTATCCTGGATACTACATTTCTAGTCTATGAAGATGGTCAAACTGGCATATCAAGTTCAGAGATTCTTCCATTTGCTCCCAACTGTACACGCACTGGCGGCATACGAACACATTTTAACCCTCTGCTGAGAGTTGGGGCCCCATTAATTACTTCAATAATGCGCGCGGCTCATGGTAAACATATTGTTATCAAGAACGCTACAAGGTGTGAAAAAGTTTTTTAACGATAATTAAAAGTTAAGGAAGTTTTGTATAGGAAAATAAAAGGGTGATAGATCTTATTTTGAGTACTACACCGCTATAAAAAAAAGCGTTTCAAGCACTTAGAACAGGTTTCCTGATCTGCACTTTCGGTTCTTGACCACATGGGTCGTTTTGGCGGGCATCCTGCACTGAAAACTATAAAAATTATTTGATGAATTGATGGGACCACAGTATTCAACTAGCGCCCATAATTACAAATGCTCCATTAGTGTGAAAGTGGTGACAGGAAAGGGTTTAGATCAGTATGATATTGTTACATGGCTTAGGATACCATTATGTGTAGTAACCACTTTCGAAACAGGTTGACCTAAGCGTTTAGAGATGGGAAGCCATTTTCTTCGCTGTGGACGACAAAGAGAGATGGGTATGCCTACAGTAGAGCACTGGTCCCAAGCAGCCATTGTATTACTACGGTGCTGTATTAGTACTGTAATCAATAAGCGCTTTCATTATCAATCTCGGATCTGGTTAGAGGGGGGAAATAATGAATTGACACAATTTCAAATCTCTCACAAAGTCCGCATCTCTTTTGTGAACTGCTGGGAACAGCACGCTCGCATTTGCACTTTGTATTTTGAACTGTCACCGCGGAAGTCAATTTCAACTCAACCTCTCCGATGCGTTAATTAATATAATCTGACGAGACAATTCAACCTGTTCGAAACGGCCCTGCAATCAACCTCAGAATAGCTGCCTTTGTTGATTGGCTAAAGTCGGTTTTTACACACGTTAACGAGCTCAGTGTTAGAATAATGAAGACTTTTTTTAGTTCATTATGATTTTTCGTATAAGCTGAATGACAACTCATACATGGCCCTAGTGCTGGCAATAAAAAAAAATTAGACAGTGGGTCTTCATAGATTTTGAATTAGTGAATCTTACCAGTTCTAATAAACAAATGCATCATCGTCGTGAAAGTCCTGCTGGTATGTTATAGAACATTTTTTGCCGGTTGTACACGCCAAACGTGTTCTTAGTCGGAAAAGATTGGCGGCTGCAAATTGATAGAAGTCCAAAAAACAGTCAGTTGACGAAACTGAAGACCAATGTAATAAAATATTTATTTTCCTATCTTGTTCTCAACTGCTTCAATGATACTATGAAAAATTCAAATACACTAATTTGACATAAGTGATCATTCTGGTAGCATGTGCACTGATAAGGACGAGAGTACTCAAATAAGCCACTGCAGTGCAATTTTCCAAAAATTCTTTTTCATTTTCCACCCTTCAAAAGCATAACTTATCCATGATGCTCGCATCGACTGGACAAACTTGAGACTCTTCCATGACAGGTTGATTATTACTGTGTATCCGTCGAGTAAAAGATGATTGCAATTTGGGAATTTAGTTCACTTGCAACGAACATAGAGCGGAAACCATTCTGGTAAACTAAAAAGGCCTGTAAATGAAATCGCAGCTTTTGAAACGACAGAAAAGACACTCTATGCGTGATCTCAAAGAATCCTATAATGTATAGGGAACGCAAAGTTTTGCAAAGTCTTTGACGGCGCTGTTTCTCGAAAAAAGAGGTGGGGATGTATTAAACATATTCAGACAATAGCAATACAGATCGAAAAGTTCAGATGTCTAGCCGCATTCCTTATACCTTGACTCGTCATATTTTTTAAGCAAGAAGAAAAACATGTTTGGAGCAGCGTTGCAAACGAACTTCATAAACTAGTTAAAACACAAGTCAGATATAGAAGCTACTCTAGGATTCTAGAATGCAATGCCGCACCTTTTGCTATGGGGATCTCCTGAGAAGGAAATTTGCTAAGCTGAACCGATCCCATAAGGACAGAATACCAATGAAGCTTTGACAGATAAAGCACAGAATACCAATGAAGCTTTAACAGATAAAGCACAGAATGTAAATGAAGTTTTAACCAGAAAGAAATTACATTTAGTTATTCCTCATGTGAATATCACGCATATCTTATACTAGTACATTCATCGAATATTTGGCGCTTTGCTAAGCAATTGAAACGAAAAAACAGTGCAGAAGACAGGGAGAGTCGCTCTGCAGATTCTCAAATATAAACCGCTCTGGTCGTCCAGTGCAAAATTACAAGCGTTCACCCTCATCACAATAAATTTTATCCTATTTTTGAAAAAAAAAGAGTTTTTTGACTTCTAAAAACATTGGTGCCAATTTTCTGCAATCGACTTGGTTTACATGATTCCAGAGCCCTTTTGAGATCGTGCCGTCATGTTCAACATCAATGTCTTGATGTTTCTTCAATTTCTCGCTTTGTTTGTTAGATTCGTGGAGGTGGG